GGGGGGGCGCGCGCGGGTCTCACCTCATCAAAAGGGTCACACATTCAGAGAGATCCAGAATCCAGATGGCAGCAGTGCAGTCACAGTGAATTGGGCACTGTACGGACACAGGCAGCATGTGACACAGGCAGCATGCTCAGCTGACCAGACACCAGAGAGAAGCTATTGGTGGGGGAGGGGCCACGCTTACAGCAGCCAAAGCCTGTATCCCCATCTATGCAGCAGCCACACACGAAGCGTGCGCACCAGGGACAAGGTAGGGGCGGGACGAGCTTACAACGGCGGCGACCAAAGCCCGGAGCTCCGTCCATATTGCTGCTGTCACTTGAACTTCTACAATTTTTTCCGCCCTCACCCCTTGGGCGCCCTCAAGCGGCCGCTTATCTTGCCTTGCGGTAGCGCCGGGCCTGTCAACACACTCCCTTCCCCTGACTCCGTTCACAGCCAACAGTATATGGTTTATACCTCCATTATTATTATAAAAGTCAGCTGGACTTATAATGGATTGGAGCAGAGTGCTGGAAACTCCAGTGCAGAGACTTCTCACACAGCCCCAGAGAAATAGAAGTCAGAGGATGATTCAACCTGCAAGCATTTCCCCATGGCCACTCACAGGAAAGCTACAAGCAAAACAAATTCCAGCCATAAGGATATGTGTTCTGACTTCATGCTGGGTTTAAAACCATATCAGAAAGGTTTTAGTCGCCCACAAAAACTGCCATCACCAAGGCTTGGAAGAGCCCTTTTTTGAGTTTTGAAGTCAAAAGCAGGATCAACACATTGGCCAATGAAAAGCTCACAGCTATATTAAATGACTGATGACTTAATGCCTATTAAATATATGATGTGAATGAGTGATCATGCACTCAAACCAAATAGTTTTTAAACCTCTCTTTTGTCCAACTGAAAACCAGACACCCCCAAGCTCTCCAACATTGCCTTTCTATCTTTTCCCACTTTCCTCTTATCCCCCCAACCTTTTCTTCTTATCCCCTTTCCATTTCTCCCCTCCACTGTCTTATTTGCTCCTTACACCAGCCTTCCTCCTCCACTGCAGCCCTCCTCCTCCTCCCTCCCTCCAATATCTCTTGCAGCCCCAAACCTCCCCATTTACCTACACTTTCCTTCATTCACAATTCCCCGCTTGTCTACCCTAGTGGCCCTCCCCACTGAGCACATATTGCCTACCGACAGTTCTCTGAGAGACTCCTTCTCATTACATGAACTCAGGTCATACCCCCTTTTCTGAATGGTCAGTTCTCTATGTACTGCAAATTTGGGAAGTTTACTCTTTGTATGTCTCTTGATAAGCCTTATTGGAATGGCCATTTGTTTGTATACCTTGTTCACTTGGAAATCCAATAATACAATTGTGAAAGAACACACATCAGATAAGTGCAAATCTTGTTTAGGATATGAGGTCTCTGTGTATATTTAGGACCACACTACCAAGTCCTTAGAAAAGCGTGGACTGTCAGCACCTCTCTATTTGGTGATGCGTTACTCATAGGTTTAATACAGGATAACTGTGCAGAGTTTTGGAGACTTTTTTTACGGGCTAACAAAGGGGGAGGGCTGAATTGGGGGAACCAATCCAAAATCTGCACCAAGGCTTGAACATTACCAGCTGTGCTACCGCGTACTCATCTGGAGTACGCGGTCCAGTTCTGGTCACCAGTACTAAGAAAAGATGTCCTTGAGTTGAAAAAAGTCCAGCGGAGGGCAACCAAACTAATTAGGGGTATGGAGGACCAGAGCTATGAGACAAGGCTACTAAATTTAAACATGTTCACATTGGAGGTGAGGAGATTAAGGGGGGATATGATCTCCATGTACAAAGTGTTCAATGGTGGTAGCGACATTAGTGATAAACTGTTTAAAATTGACTCCGTTACAGGAACTAGAGGCCACCACCTAGAATTGGTGGAAAGAGAATTCCAGCACAGGGGGCAAAGGGGGTTCTTTACGGTTAGAGCGGTTGGGGCCCGGAACTCGCTGCCGCAGGCGGTGATTTCGGCAAATGGTGTGGAATTGTTCAATAAACTTTTGGACGATTTCTTAAGGGACCGTAATATACAGGGGTACAGGTACTCCTAGAATGAGATCCTAATAGGTTGGACTTGATGGACTAATGTCTTTATTCAACCTCAAATACTATGTAACTATGCTACTGCTCAATACATCCAGTTGCAAAATGACCTTTTTAAGGTTAGTAATAGTGATTCAATTATTGTCAAATATTTTTAATTATTATTCTGCAGGATTTATATAGCGCCAACAGTTTGTGCAGCGCTCTACAACATAAGAAGAACATTACAGTTACAATACAAAGACAAAATGGTAAGGAGGGCCCTGACCGTGAGAGCTTACAATCTAAAAGGGAGGAGCAAGTGATACATTAGGTAGCTGTGTGAAGATGAATTGTTTGAGAAGGTGATAGTTCAGTGGTTAGTTTGAGGTGAGATAGACTTCCCTAAAAATGATGAGTCTTTAGGGATCGTCTAAAGACAGTCAGAGTGAAAGATAGAAGGACAGGTTAAGGTAAAGAGTTCCATAGGATGGCAGAGACTCTAGAGAAGTGCTGGAGGCGAGCATGGGAGGAGTTGACAAGGGAGCTAGTGAGCAGGAGGTCTTGGGAGCAGTGAAGGGGATGGTTAGGGGTTGTGGATGGCTTTGTAAGTGGTTGTTAATATTTTGAATTTTATCCTTTGGGCGATTGGAAGCCAGTAGATGGATTGATACGGGGGGAGGGGGGTTTCGGGTGTTTGCAGACACGGAGCGGTTGGTGAGATGGATGAGTCTAGCAGCAGCAGTCATGATAGTCTGAAGAGGGGATAGCCTGTGCAGAGGTAGGCCAATGAGGAGGGAGTTGCAATAGTCGAGACGAGAGATAACAAGTGAGTGGATGAGAAGCTTTGCGGTTTTATTGGTTAGAAAGGGGCGTATTTTGGAGATGTTACAAAGGTAGCAGGATTTGGAAAGTGATTGGATGTGGGGCAGAAAGGTGAGGTCTGACACCTAGCACCTTGGCATGGGGGGAGGGATGGATAGTTATGTTATCAGCTCAGTTTTTGAAAGGTTGAGTTTTAAGAAGTGTTGTGACTTCCAGGCGGATATGTCAGTTAGTAGGTTAGTGACACGCAAGGACACCGAAGGGGTGAGTTGTGGAGTGGAAAGATATATTTGAGTGTCATCGGCATAAAGATGGTATAAGAAGCCAGGCGAGGTTATCAATTGACCAAGGGAAGCACTGTAGATACAGAAAAAAAGAGAAGGGGTACAAGGACAGAGCCTTGGGGGACCCCTACAAAAAGAGGAAGAGGAGAGGAGAGGAAGAGGTAAGTTTGTAGGTATTTCGTTTTTCTTATAGTTGTGCTTTAACGTTAATCTATGCATAATACATTCTGTTGGTCAATGTAGAATCTCATATTTTAGTGAATAGGACAGTCACTGGCCAACCACATGACCACACAAGGATCCCTATATACGCAAGTTACAAGCTGTATCAACTTAATGCCAGCTCCAGGATACAAAATGCAGAATTGCTGATAGCGGACTGTGAATGTTCAGTAAAGGTCTGCAGGCATTTCTACAGTTACAAGATAAAGGTCTACTGTTTCCAAACATAATTTATGATTGTCAACAATTGTCAAAAGTTATTTAAAAAAAGTCTGTTTATCTTTTAGGGAATGTTAAATAAACATAATTGAAACTAAGGTAGTTAATAACGTTTTTAGAATGTAATTAGGGTGTATGTAGCCATAATAGCAAAGAGTATTTAACTAGAACATTTTAATCATTCTTACATTAAAAGCCATAAGCAAAAGGCAATGTATGCAAGTACATTTTTTCTTTCCCGAACCTCCTATTTCAAATCGTGGCCATATGGGGCTCAACAATATTAAGTGCAGTGACAGATTCAGTCGTCAGCTGTGACAGCAGGACTACATGAGGCTTAATCAGATATGACATTCATGACCTCTTTCAAATGTCCGAAATAATTGATATTGCAATACACTGAAAAGCTCAGTCTGACTTTTCCCTTATTGGAGAGCTTTGTTGGAGGATTCAGTCAGATAGAAAAGACAGGCTGCGATTTCTGCTGCATTCTCTTTACCTGGTGCTCTGAGAATCCTTTCTGTAGAGGTTTTCACACCACCAAGGATGCTAATGATGCTCAGGGCTTTTAAAGAAGAACTATGAGATGAGTGATTTTCACTCACCTCATAGTTCTAGCCGACCTGTGACAATGAGACTGTCACAGGTCGGCTCAGTAGATCGGGAAGTGAGCGAACAGATACCGGAGTTCGCTCACCTCTCGATCCTGTCACGGCTCTCTGCCTCTAGATAGGTAGAGCCAGCTGTCACTCACGCAGCTGGGCGAATCCAGACATCGATGTCGGGATCCGCTCCGGCTGCGGCGTCTCAGTATACCGTGAGCTGTAGCTCGCGGTATACTGCGGCTAGGGTAACGGGAGGACGCTAGTTTGTGTCCTCCCGTTAACCTAAGGAGAACTATGGGGAAAAGACCTGACCCCATAGTTCTCCTTTAACACATAGCAGGCACCTAAATGTGAATGAGACCTTTAAGGTCCTGTATTGATGGGGAGGACTGCCTCATTGTTTCAACCCACACTAAACATCTACCAAATATTTGGTCTCAGAGAGAGTACTGAGTAGAACCATAGTTGCCATGCCCATACCTCTCAGATGAGAAAGAGGGACAAATGCCAGCACAATGGGGTGAATTTATCAAAACTGGAGCAGACAGAATCTGGAGCAGTTGCTCATGGTAAACAATCAGCTTCTCTCTTCAGTTTGTTCAGTTAAGACGTGTAAATTAAAGATAGAAGCTGATTGGTTGCCATGGACAACTGCTCCAGATTATGTGTGCTCCACTTCTGATAAATTCCCCACAATGTATTTAGACACTGGACACACCCCTGCAACGCTTCCAGTTATGTGGACTATTAAGAATTTTAATGACGAAAACTATCCGATAAACCCATAATTGTTTCTTTTACCATTACTTTTCCTTCATATTGCCTTTTTCAATGTATAAAAGATAATTAGGAGGTTTTAGTGCAGAATAACACTTTTGTTAGTTAAATAGCACATTCTCATGGATATCTGTACATCAGACCAAAAAGAAGGACAACTGAGGAGGAAAGAGGGACAGGAACAGAATGTAATTCCAAATGAGGGACAGTCCTTGCAAATGATAGACATTTGGGAGGTATGCATACTGATGTTTGAACAGCAAGGGTTTGTGTTCCACCGAGTCCACTGTTGCAAACAACCTTTGGGCTGCATCTGAAAGGGAATTTACATGGCTTCTCCAGCTAATGATGTTCTCAACATAGGTGTTAAGCTGTAAATAATGCATTTGTAGGCCTGTGTCTAGGGTACCAGGATACAGTTTTAATTCAAAAACGAGTGCTCTCTTATCCACCCCTGTCTCTCTTACAAACACTAAAAGCAAGACAGACGTTTAAATATAGTAGAGAAAAAGTTCTAGAAAAACATAAGTCATTTTAATGCTATCTCAGTCTCAATGAAAGGAGGGAGCCATTAAAATGAACAGATAATACATACCTGACCAGGTTTCTTAAGCACACATTGTACCAGGTGACACAAACTTTCCACTTTTTCTTCATCTTTTAGTTTTTCTTTAATCTGTTGTTCCAACAGCTTCCATTTAGATGCACCTTTAAGAATATTAAAAGGTATAGCAAAATGCAAGTCAATTAAACAAAATTAATATGTTAATATATTTAAGTGACTGGGCTTGCTATGGACTTTTGACCATCACTTAATTTTCGTTCAATACATTTTTATCGAAAATTTACAGAAGTACAGAATCTGAAAAAGAGAAATGTATACCAAAATATTACACAAGAGTGGAATTGTAATAAAAGAGTACAATCTGACCAGGTTAACAATGTAATACTTCCACGGTTAAGAATGACAATCAACAGGCGATAGACAGGACAGAGGTCATTGAGTTAAATATAAACAGTATAATGATCGTCTCCAGCTATAGAAAGCAAGCGGAGTCCCAGGTCTTAATGGAAATAAACCACTACTATCGGATTAAAATACAGAAAGAAAAGGAGAAGGAGTAGGAAAAGAAGAAAATAGAAAAAGCAGGAAAAGCAAAGGAGAAAGGAAGAGACAGAGTAGGGAAAAGGGAGAGAAAACAGGTATCCGAGATTCAATATTATCCTGGAATCTTTATAATGTATGAGCCAAGGAAAGGAGACAAGTCAAGACGTAATAAAGCCAGTGTCACAATGAGGTGGAAGACATTTTCTGATCCAGGAGTCCCAAACTCGTTCAAATTTGTGCATAATATCAGACCTTCACTTAATTTTAAGGCAGCATGCATATGCTTCTACATGGTTTTGAAAATACATTTTAAAATATCAGTTATACATCTCAACTGACCAGTGCTCAAACAGGTTTATCATACAGACAGAATATCTCTGTTAAGGTTAACCTGTACTAGTTATACAATGACTGAGCTAAAGACAGTGGATACTATAAAGTGCCATATTTTACCAACACCAGAGCTTCCGATATATACCAACATCCATGCAGAGAGTAGGCAACTCACTCACCATGACCTACTTCTTGCGACATATCACCAAGCCTTAACACCTCCCTGTGGAGGAAGGGACCTGCCTAAATATGGCATTTCAGAAGCCATTTTATTAAAAAGAAATCTCTGTAGGCACCAGAAGTACATGAAGAGAATTATTATAATATTTAGACTTCACATTTGTTTGCCCTGATGCAGTGCGTTAAGGCACATTGTGTTGATGCAGTCCATTGATTTGAGCTGCTAATGCTTCACAATGGACCTGAAAACATGGTAGTGCACTGCTCTAGTGCATTGCCATGGTGTGCTGCAATACTAACGTGTTGGGTATTCACAAGTTTAGTGCATTGTGGTGCCATTCAAAAAAAAATGGCACCACAAAGTGGTTACATGGGTTGGGGTAATACAAGCTAAAATACGTGTTCCCGCAACACATATGTGTGAATCTGGCCTTAAGGTAAAGTCGGACAACACTGAAAGAGCCTAGTTTAGCCATTTTTTTAGCTGGTAAAGGTATAAAGCATTTGGTGAGATATTCCCTAAAGCTAGCCATACATGCTTTGAATTTCAGCTGATTCCTGCTGAATCAGCCAAAATTCAAGTTGTGCCCTGTTGGCACCTCTCAGCTTTACAAAAGTCAATTTAAAAATTGGACTGAGCCGGGTGGAAAACTATCAGCCAAACAGTAGCCACATCCCATTAGATGCAGTCGCTGTTTGGGTATTCAGACATTTGCAGGTGTTGCGGCTGACAATAGATGGCATTTCAGATTTCCCCATCCATGCAGTTTAGTGGAATTTTCAAGAGAAATTCCAAAATCTACTAAAAAGATGCAGATTATGCAGCTTTCCACACCGAGAATGCAGTAGGTGATTATAATGAAGGCAGACCCTCCCATTCAGGGTGAGAGTAGGAAACTCCAACAAAGTTTGTGAAAATACTTGTACTGTAAATTGATCACCCAGAGGGGATTGTTTCTTTAAAAGCAACAAAAGGGAATTTACACTTTTTATATAGAAAACTCATGTTTGAATCAAACTATGTTTCTGATCCCTCTAAGATTCAGACTATGTGGTCTGATCACTCTAAGATTCAGGATGCTCCCATTGTGCACAGTTTATGATCATCAGCACAATCAGAAATTTTGAAGCAAACTTCACGAGACTGCAAAAGCTCCTATTAATTCTGGTTTTGTTATGTGTCTAGAGGAATAGAAGACAGTTCAACCTCTGTAGGATGGCTTATTTACCTAAATGGATTATAAAATACTATTTGCATGTGTCATGGCTATCATCCCTCTGTGGTCTGGCTTTCTCACAATATTTTACTTTAAAGCAACAGACTACGAAAGGTGACGATGAGGACAGCTGAACCTGCCAAACCAGGAGTTCCTTAATAAATGATCTTATGTTTTGAAAACAAGCTAACTTTGTGAATAGGCGTTGAAAATTGAGATCACCTTTTTTGTTGTTGATGTGTACCTTCAAAAGGAAACACAGTAAAGCTGTCCATTTCTAATATGAATTTGCACATCAAAATACATAATTTAATAGATGGAGAGGACTGGCAAGGTATGAAAGAGAATGATTGACTAAGTCTCAGAAACAATTGCTGCTAATGCCAAATTAAAATGGTCCTGTTTAACCATATATAATCCAAGGGCAGGTGTCTGGCGACAGGATCCATACCTGTATAATTCATACCACGGACCTTTGTGAACAGATATTCAAGAAGTAAAAAAGTTCCCGTAATGGCTTTTATGTACTATTATAGTACCAATTCATAAGGTTTACTTGCTGTTTGTAGCTATAAATAGATGTGCTCTATTTTGGTTCAGATTTGAACCAAGTAATGTGCACAACAACACCCGTTTGCATAATTGTGTTCCTTAGTTTGGGGCACAACTGTTGCAAATTTCTAAAAGTGTACTGGACTATGATGACCCAGTAGGGGTAGCTTTGGTAGATCTGGGATTTGTTATTTTTGTCATGTTGGCAATAATACTGCTGCATCTAAATTTCCTACTACTTTCAAGGTCAAAGACACACAAAAATGGCATGCAGACTACATGTCATAGGAAGGAATTAATGATATGTAAATAAAAAAGTGAAAAAAAAATAGATGTATTACCTGAGTAAATAAAGTGAAGAATGTTGGGTAAACACACATGGAAGTCGCAGTTTTTAACAATGACTCTGACTGGAGAATTGTGGGCAGTGCCCGCAGATTCTTTGTATACAGAAAACAGGGAATGTGCTGTCCTGTATATGCAGGGGTCAGAAATATCCCTGACAGAAGTAGAGACAAACAACAGAGCAAAGACAGCACTGACACTGCACAGCACAACTCTATGGGCTCCAGAGATCGGCCTTAACTCTGCTGTACAGAAGAGGACATCCACACATTGGCAGTGAACCAGAAGATCCTGAATGTCAGATATATATTGCGAAGGCTCGTGCTTCATAACTGGCATCTTTTCTGTAAAAACAAAACATTAGACCCATCATTCTCAAACTTTTCCACCTGCGTATCATATGGTTGTTACATCAATGATGACATCATTAGCAAAAAACTGACACGAATGTTACCTTATACTTCATATTTTAACCAAACACTCTTCTATAGATGAAAAAGGCAGTATCAGCCACGGGAACAAAAAACTGCCCTCAGGCATGCCAAGTACCAGGTCCCTAATCACAAACAGTTGCATTGTCCAAGTGTTTGTGTCTAGCCTATGGACTAAAGGTAAGGGAACTGCACTGCAGACACCTCGGGGCTAGTTCCGATTCTGGCCGGAACGCACAGGATCGCATGGCGGCCGGCTCACTTTGTTGTGGGACGGGAGAGGGCGTGACGGTGAATGGCACTGCAGCCACGTCCTCCGGTCGCAATGCGATCGGCTGCACAGGAATGCAAGGCACATTAATGCCTGCGGTCCAGTCTGGTCCGGTCAGAAAAAAATACTGCAAGCACTATTTTTTCGGACCGAAACGCAGGCACTGATGTGGCACGCGCTCCCGTTTGGCCGATCGCATTGCGGACAGAGGGCGTGGCTGCGGTGCCAATCACTTCAATGCACCGCCACGCCCCCTCCCGCCCCGCAACAAAGTGAGCCAGGTGCAATGCGATCCAGTACGTTCCGGCTATAATCTGGCCGGAACGCACTGTGACTGGTGTAAACTATCCCTCAGGGCCCATTCACACCACATCATCTCCAGACCAGACCAGATTGTTTCCGGACCCAAAATACATCCTAATGTAAATGTATCCCTATGCTTTTTCTGGCTTCTGTTCACACCACCGCTGTCCTTTCCAGACCAAACCAGAAAAATAATGTATGTCTCATATTGTCTGGACTGCAATGCAACGCATGAAAACGCATCACAAAAGCACGCAAACGCACTGGAACGCACCTGAAGCCCATTTTAAGCTTAAGAATAAAAACAGCTCCGGAACGCAGAAAAATCACGGCAAAATTGCGGTCAAAACGCAATGCACTGCATTCCAGATCTGGTCCAGAAAATGTTGTGAACCTGCCCTCAGTCAGTGCCAGCTTATTGGGAGAAAACTACAGCAATCAGATAACATTTTCCAGCCGGCACAATTGCTTCTCCCTAATAAGCTTTGATCAGCACGGTCTGCTGATGACTAAAAGATAGGTTCCCGATCTAGCCCCAAACAAGCAAATCGGGAGATGGTCATCAAAAGTTCCTTTATTTTTTTCTAGCAGGTCACCTGCTGGCACAAAAAAATAAATAAGAATTTGGCATTCTTTCTCAGTCTTTGGAAACTTTGAAAGGCTCATCTACACAGCTGTTTTTCTGAACTACTTTTCTACCACATGCAATGACCAATTCAAATGCAACTTTAAAGCAGCTTAAAAACGACTCCAAAGCAATTTAAAGTACATAACTTAAAAAACACTTGAAACTTGCTTCTAAATCTAAAGCCTCTGTACACAAGATTTAAATCACTACACAACAATATGAATTAAAATTATATAAAATGATGCCATGAAAAGTCTCTGTGTGTCTTACTTGACTGGAACTCAGGCCTCTCTGACAAGGTTCTCTTCACATTTTAGGAACCACTAAATTAGACCTTACTTGCTTGTTTGTAAACGTGTAATAGGCTTTGAGGTCATGCAGGTGCAATAGACATTGCATCTCATGGTTGGGTATCAGTCTCAATGTCATTCAGGCAAAACTGAGCAACTAAACAAGCAAAGTGGCCCCATTTTGACACAGGCTACGAGTTCACAGTTCACACTTTCAAGATGATTGAAAGTAATAACAGGGATAGTTTTGGCTTATGGGAACCAATCTGATTTTTTTCTTTCATGAATGTACAGGAAAATGAAATAGATAACATTTCCGCTCATTATGGGCAACAATTATGCTTTCAGGCACTTTCACCAATATGCTACAGAGACTGAAATCTACTGATGTATTTGATATCCCTTAATACTTACTTTTGAGTATCCCACATAGTTACTATTCCCTTTCGTGAGTGATAAGTTGAGATACCCCCTTTTGCAATACACAATACTCTTAATGGCAAAACAGCAATAAAAAAAAGAAACAGTCTCTTTCATGCAAGCAGCATTATTAAAAGGAAAAAAACAACACATAAAAACCCCGGAGAGGTCCCAAGACAAGACTTTGTATGCATGAAAGGCAGAGGGCGCCAGAGACAACACAACACATCCTCTTCAAATAACTTCACAGAAGGAGTCACGGTTGACCTTGTCAGACAAGAAGAGCCCCATTGTTAAAGGCATGCATGCTGGAGAGAGGTTTGTCCACAGATTTGATCTCCCCACAGAAAGGAGAACCAGAATGGGTCTTTACAAACTTTATTTCCCAAAAACTACAAACATGTTGATGCTGAAGTTGTAGCATGGCTTGACAGTTTGAAAACAAAATGCAGACTGCTCCACGTTTGTGTGTGTTTCCGTACATTTCAGCTCATTCCTTTGGAATGAGCTATGTAACACAATTAATTTCAGTACAGCATTGCATGACTGAATAAATGTCAGTCAAAGTACCGCAGCGCTGAATACTGAAAAATGGCCTGGGCTCATGTCCACATCTTTCGTTTGTATCTGAGCTGCTCGTCTTTCCCAGCCAATGTGAGTGCAAAACGACATACATTAGTCCAAAAGCTCTCCAGGGAACACAGGTGTTAAAAAAGTTAATAATAATCCTATTCCGGATTAAAATTGGACAAAAAAAGCTCTTCCACATGTTCCCTGTAGTAGCAATAGCAGTGCAACACAGTAAATATCAGAGATAAGAGAGAGTAGGATTCTAGGAGCATCTCATACTAATTGATTCATTCATTTACCGTATATACTCGAGTATAAGCCGAGATTTTCAGCCCATTTTTTTGGGTGAAATACAGAGAACACTGTAACAAGAAACAGCATGCGATCTCAACTACCGAGTGCTGAGGTGCATTCCCATATTACCTGGTAGAAGAAGGGCCGGAGGTTTAATCCCACTCTTTCTTTTCTTTCCATTTACAGCTGACTTGCGATGGATAGTCTTGTGTATGTAATATTCCAACTAAAGAGAAAAACAAAAACACACAAGCATCTCAGTAATGGTGAAATATGTCTTCTAGAGTTTTTGCCATCCTCCATCCAACCTGCCCCGTTTTATCTAGAACTAGAAAAAAGAGTTCCTATTCCAGAAGAGGTTAGACCAGGGAGAGTACAAACCATCCTAAAGGAGTGTTTTATATAGCAAAGTGTCAACAACAAGTAGAAACAATGTGTGCAATTTTCAAGTATAAAATTGGAATGCCTGGCTTCCAGCCATGTCTCGGAGGGCAGGATAGCTTCAAGATGGACACAAAGGAATGTGGAACAGACAGAAAATACCAATTGCATTTGGTGGAATTAAGTGACTATGGAGAAAGTCTAAATCTCAGTGGTTGCTGGGAGCTTATACATTTTGATAAAGTAGACATGTTAGTAGGCATGTTTCAGGATGCAGACTCTAAATAGTGGTGAGTGACTTAATAGTGGAAAGTGTGGCCACTTGCTGTACTTGGATGCCCCAAGGACTTAAACTATGTACTCTGACTGTAGAATGTCTCAGGTGGGCCCCAGGTGATGGGGGACTTGACAAGTGTGTGTACCAGGGACAGGCTAAGGTCAGGTCTGGTAGCAGACAGAGAGTATATAAAGGACAGGCAGAGGTCAGGACAGGCAGCAAACAGAGTATTCCAGGGACAAAATATTAAACAGGAACAGGTAGCAACATACTAAGACAGGAACAGGATGCAAGGTACAAGACAAGATATGCAAAGACTAAATACAGGCTTGTGAAGACAGAACTATCACAAGCCCAGAGCTCTGGGCTTGTGTGGCTTAAATACAGCACCACCAACCAATCCCAACTAATGTGCGTGTCTCAGCTCATTAGCTCGTAGCTGACAAAGTCAAGGAAAAGTGCAATGGCAGCAAGCAACCACCAGGAGGAGCTAGGAGGCAGCACCAGACACAGGAGAATGAGACACAAGCCGAGCATTATGTTCCTTTAGTGTTCTTGATTAGGTCTGGAAATTAATTTTGTCTAGCACTGTCAAGGACATAGGAGGTTGTTGTGAGATCTGCCCAATATGCTGGAAAGTTTCTCCAAGTAAGCAATTTTGATCACATTATTACCTACGAGGTAAACTCCAAAAGTGCTTAAAAACAAACACGATGATGTGATATAATTTGGTGCATGCCTAGAAGTGCTGCGTTAACATTTTGTGTGGATAGACTTAATACATTTTCAAAAGACTGCGAAAAAGAAGAAATAAAATTACATGACTATGTCTGCATATCTAGTGAACTTTTGTTCCGTATGTGCTGTCCTTGAAACTTTGCAGCTAGTAACATTTTGCGAGGGAGACATTATCAAGCTACAATAAAAACAAAGCACTACCGTAATTTCCATCAAAGAAAACCGTTTCTCATTTCTGTACATTTCACATGACCCTTAAAAACCCTTTGTTAGGGTTTAAATTAAACTCTTCATTTGGTTGCAAGTGAGACTGTTCTAGGTTCTATGGTATTATGAGCTGTATACAGATCTGACAGTAAAAAACAGATAATACTCTTCCATGTGTATGTATGTGCGCCGTTTGTGCCTGTCCATAGTGTCCAAAGTACAACTAGTTGGTGTGTCTCTTTTCTGCAGTTGTGGGTTTTGAATGGTTTCTGAAAGCAATCATTTTACATACATGTGTACCTCCTCTATCAACCACCATCTGTAACAGTTGGCAGTAGAGAAGCAAGGGGTACACTAGGGATGCACGATACCATTTTTTCCAGGCCAAGTGCGAGAACCGATACTTTACCTCGCCGATACCATTTACCGCAATGCAGAATACCACCAGCTATAGAGGACTACAAATCTCAGAAATACATTATAAAGCAGTGGACTGTGGAGGGTCTCGTGTGGGCTATGCAGGGTCTCAGGTGGGCTGTGCGGGGTCTCACCAGGAGTCTGGAGAGTCTCCCAGGCAGGTGCAGGCGGCGGAAGCAGTGTAAGCAGCGCTGTGTGGTTCCCCAGGAAGGAAGGGCAGGTGTGCTGGCCGGCGCTATAAACAGGCGCCGAGGTTCACAGGAAGGTTTCCGAGGTCCCCAGCAAGCGCGGAAGCTCAGGCAGCCACTTCAGTTTAAAAATTTAAAGCACCCATATCGGTGTTTAGTATAGCGGTTTATTCACGTGTACGAGTACTCCTGAAAATGTTTAGTATAGCGGTTTATTCACGTGTACGAGTACTCCTGAAAATGCCAAGTATCTGCACAGATGCCAAAACTGGGATCTGTATCGGTGCATCCTGAGTGTAGAACATGTGATCTCTCATCAAGTACCACTTAGTCATAAAAATGTATTCAACTCATTATAAACAAGGCTCAATCCAAGGGGTTATATTGAAAACTGAAATAACAGTGATCTTTTCATACACGCAGTCCTTATCCTTTCTTTAACAGGTTTTCTTTTTCTAAATGGAAAAATTAATGACTTGCACAACACTGGCTTTGTGCATTATAGCTCTCTGGATCACAAATTACCCCTGCTCTCTCTAACAAGCTTGCCTTGCAGAATAATGATTAATCCACAAGACTACTCTGGAAAACTTGTACATTATTTGGACACGGTGTGTAAGCAGAAGTATAAAAATACTGGACTTGTAACAGCACTGCTGACAGGGAAAATATATGCTTGATTAGGATCTCTCAACAGAGAGCGCATTGTTTCTGAAAAGTCACCATGTTTTAGCCTTGTACAGTGTACCCTGCCAGATGAACAGAACAGTCCGCTCAATGTTAGGCTGGCCAAATAGGGTGGAGCCGTCAGGGTTGTCTATATAACCAACATGCATGTCCTATGGAGGTAGGTGATGGAGACCCTACGAGACACAACCAGCGCTGGTTTAAAAAAGGGTAAATAGGGACTATTCCAACAAAAACAAACAATCTCTGTCACTAACTTGTGTGTGCAGCATCTTCAGCTACCTATGGACATGAGATTTCCAGTGTAGTTTGTTTGGAACAGTAGTCTTAGCACTGCATGATATCAATGCAGACACTGGTGAAGTCTTGGTGAAAAAATAATCCAGACAGAGGTAAATAGGGCTTGTTAGTCCATTGTTTCCTTAGAGGGCCCACAGGCTAGGAGAGCTTTAGGAAGGAACATGGATTTGATACCACCCCAACATGCACCAATGTGATAATTGTGAACTTGTTGCATGTCTTGTTAATAATGCATAGTTTGACATTTTTGTGACATAATACATGGACCCCAATCTGAAATAAGTCATTTCAGGGAGGTGCCCTCTGTCAACCCCCTCCCCTGAAATTATGGCGGATAGCAAAGACAGCTGCAGCCGTCAGAAAAAAAAAGCATAGGAATGAATAGCTAGGCTGCTATTGGCTATTTCAACTTGCAATAGCCAATAGCAAGCTGGCTATAGCACCCGCCCTCTGCTACTGTCAGTCAACAGAGGAGGACCTGATGGAGAACTTCAGGTCCACCTCTGCTGATTGCCAGCAGCAGTGGGCGCGTGCAATAGCTAGTCTGCTATTGGCTATTACAAATTGAAATAGCCAATAGCAATCTAGCTATTCGTTCCTATGCCGTTTTTTTTTTATTCCGGTATCAGAAAAAAAAAAAACAACAGCAGGGAAAGGTTTACTCTATTAGATCAAGCATTTTGATTGGCTGCCATGGCAACCCAAACCAGTTTCTTCATATAAACTCTAGGGTTACTGTTAAGAAATTGTGCTCTATGGTATATTACATTTCTCTTTTTAAACCATTTACATAAATATCTGGTCTTTTACAATCTGTTCTGCTTATCATGGTTTTAACGTCCTATAAGCCTTGTTGAATAACTAGGGCATGTAGAATTTTATGCAGCGCAACAACTAATTAGAGAGATCTTTTGAGAAATCATACGCAACTCATCAGCCACATACACTTGGGGAAATTTTATAAAGCAGAACAAATATTAGCCAAAAGTCACTATTCATCAGTTATTAATCACAATGAAAGACGATTGCTGATGGCTTTATAAAATATCCCCGTGTGATGGGAAAGGTACAGTTGATTAAAATACTTCTATAATTAGCTACGCTGTGTTGCATAAAAATTCTCCTGCATGTCCTAATTATTCAAATCTATACTATACCTTACCAAGTTGCTTCATATAAAAAAAGGATTCAACGTGTTTTAGAGTGGACCTCCACCTTCTCTTCAGGAGAACATGTTGGATCCTTTTTTTAAAAATACATTTTAATCAGTTTTATGCAGTTTAACTTGAAATACACTGATTGTAGACAAGGTCTGAGGTATCCTCATGTACTGAACACATTTTGATATTCGGAAGCTTCCGCAATAGCCGTGTGGGCTTGAAACACAAAGCCTTTATGATGTAGTAAGTTGTCACAGCCTGGCTTCCTAATCAGGTAAGTTGTTTTATTGTTCTTCAACCCACATAGCTCTTGTAGATACACTTTGAAGAAAACACTTTTTCATAACCCCATTTGAGAGCCAATCAGTGGAGGAGAGTGCTAACAGCTAATTTAACTAGACGACTCTACAAGCACTATATCCGTGTTTGTCTTGGCATATAGCACATATGGGCATCTTTGGATTGGATGCCACCTATGTGTGAAGTTGATTATTTCAGAGGCACCCTCTTTTTTTCTCTTTTTACCTGTAGGTTCTCTGACATTTTTGCAGAAGCAAACATATGAGTGAATCTATGGGCAATCACTAGAAACAGTCGAGAAAAATATATATCAAAGCGCTAAAGGTATAACTAATATGAAACTTAGTATAACCAAGTGATATAGAGAAATTAGGGTTTAGGCGGTCTAGCCCTAAAACAAGTGATATGTCTTACATAGAATCATAAAAGAAAAAAGAAAAAGAAAATTAATAGTACAATTGTGCTGTGGAAAAACAGAAAATGATTGGGACAATAAAAAATTTCAACCACTGTGTAAAGACCTCGAATATATAACAATATATAAACGATCCGTGCAAAAAATATATATTAAAAAATTGGAATAAAATGTTCAACGAAAAATAAACGTAAAAAACGTGTACAAAGGAAGTTGTTAATGATATATATTGATGGTGGTATATATTTCGTAGCGGTGCTGCTTTAGGTCTTAATTTATTATACATTTCCACTTTAGTCTCCTTTCCAGAAGCGCGGATTATGTATTTCTAATCACTAGAAACAGTCTTGAATGTTGGTTCAACTTACCATTTAACGGTTAAAACAAAAAGCTGTGAGCAACAATAGCTGTTAGAAATGATTAACTAATGAGTACAATGAACATGAAAGTATTTTCTGGGAAGTAATGGATTTGCCTAAAGACTCATTTAGAATCACATTTATTACCACTTGTTCACAGTCAGCTAGCCTGGTCCTGTTATTCAAGCACAGGAAAACAAAGACATTAACTTCACTCGCGTACAACAACAAGTTGTGTTGCACCGAGCAGTAACTTTTTCCTTAATGAGCTTGGGTTTCGCTATATACTTGGAACTAAATAGGCTTTTTTTTCCGTGAGTTTTTATCAAAAGCCAGTGCTACATAGTCAAGGCCTACTGCAGGAAAATATCAGACAGGTAGCTCTCATGTGAGGGGGGCCCTGCTAAACATCTTGTCTTGAATTGTATTGTACTTTCCTCCTTTCTATTGTGAAGCGCTGTAATATTAATAATAATACTCTAAACTTCCTGCTTATGTAAAACTGCAAAGCTGAAACTATTGAAGAATTCAAAATGTATTAAATGGTGATATATAGAACTGTGTAATCCCAATGACCTGTGGTCATGGAGGCGGAACAATAAAAGCAGCCTGTGAGAGTTTAAAGAAAACTTGTATTAAGGGAACATGTGGGCTGCCATTGCTTACCTCTGCTTCTAAAAGTGCTACTTGCCTGGCGCCCATTTCAGCTTCAATACTTTTTGTGTCAGTGACCTCAACTTGCAAATCTGACTTTGATCTTACTTCACCTGCTCCATGGTGGTTTTGCATTAGTTATTTTGCGTTAGTTATAAAACCTGTGGGTCTTCTCAGGTCACGGCCAAATCAAAACAAATGGGCGGAGCCGGCCATGGCGTCACCGCTAGCTCCATCTATTTGTCGGTGGGCTTTTTTTTTATTTTTGGCGGATCGGTGGAGGTGTTGACAACACTGGATGCCGTGATTGACCATTGGATTACTTTGATGGATGCATTTTTGGACTTTTTGGGTTTTATTTTTTTTAAATCAATTAACCACTTCCTGGCCTGAGCAATTTCTTACTATTTGCACACACACATGATAAAATCTGAATTTTTGGTTAGAAAACAGCTTCAGACCCCCAATGATATATTTTCTGAAAGCAGAGGCCCTGTAGAATAATAACAAAAATGCTAGTTGCAATTTTTTATGTTGCTTGGCATTTGCGCAAATGTTTATCAAACCGTATTTTTAGGATAAAATACACTAAAATGAAATTTAGTGCGCAGAAACAGAATATAATAGTAAATCTTTTGGTAAAATATAAAAGACGGGGGCACGCCGGGTAAATTGATACCAAATATGTGAAACTTTAAACATGCATGCATCCGTGAAACCGCAAAAAACTACAATCCCCAAAATTTCCTATAGGGGACAATTTAAAAGCTTTTACTGCTCATCAGTTTAGTGCTAACAGTGATTAATGGCTCTAGAATTATTGCTCTCTCTCTGATGTTCGCAACAATATGTAACATGTGTGGCGCAATTTTCGTTTTTGCACGTAGGCGCACCCAACGCATGTTTGCATTTTCTTACTTTTTTTTATATGTCACTTTCATTTTATAACTTTTTTTTACACTCAACTTTATTAATATCACATAGGGGACTAGAAATCCCCCTATGCAGAAGCAAATATAATGTGACAGGTCCTCTTCATAGAGACATCAGGGGTATTTCAGACCCCTAATGTCACCTAGGGACCCCAAAGCAGCTGAGGATCTGATCTGATTCCCCAACTTCTTCTCCTGGCTCTAAGAATATACACAGCGACACCGGAACTAATACACATCACTTCCGGGTCCAGTGATTGGCGGAGAGATCAGCAGCTATAAGCCTGCTGATCTCTCTCTGGTCAGTAAGAGGAGACCCGCCATGCTGGTCCTGGGCCTACACGGGAGACAGCGGAGCCCGGGGAAGCCGGCAGAAGCAGCAGGGGGGGGGAGGCACACAGCGCCGCACCGTACAAGCCATCCGACGGCTGTACAGCCGTTGGATTGCTTATATCTAAACAGAAATCGCCTGCTGTTTAAAATTATACCAAGAACACTGCTTCAGCAGCAGCAGCTATGTTCTTGGCATAACAGCTTTAGGACAGAATGTTTTTTTACATTGGGCGATCCTGAAGCGGTTAAAGGGCTTTTTCAAACGTGTGGTGTATTTATTTACATTTTACTCTTAACCTTTTAGTGCATGAGTAGGAGTACAAATACCCCTTACTCATTCACAAAGAGGGGGCTGAATTTGGTTTCTTTTTTTTTTTTTTACAGGGGTACCCCGATGCAAATAAGCACCCCTGCCCGCAGACACCCACAACCATCGGGTGAGGGCTTGTGGGGAAGAGTCCCTTGTCCCCATCGGCACGGGGACAAGGTGCTTTTCCAGGGGGCACCATGGAAAAGCACCCTTCCAGTTCAGATCAAGGGTCTGGTAGAAATTTTAGAGGGGATCCCACATTCTTTTTTTCCGGTTTATGGGGGCGGGGTTCCCCCTTTAAATTCCCACCAGATCTAAAGGGCCTGGTACGACTTTTGGGAGGAACCCCACTCACTTTTATTTTTAAGTCAGGAGTCCCTCCTAACTTTCTAAACAAACCTAAAGGGTCTGGTATGGATCGGGAGGGGGACCTGTTTTTTTACATTTTTTTTGTTTATTATTTTATCATTATTTTTTGGGGCAGGGCATTTTCTAAGCGTTTTTGATGCCTCCCTAATGCCTTGCAAATGCCTGCCGAATGCCTGGTTAACGCTATAGGAGCGTTAATGAGCCTTGATCGTGGGGTAAATTCTCGACGCACATGTGAAAAAGCCCTTAATGTTACACGTGCTGGATACAAAGTCCCAATTATTTCCTCTTTTCTAAATATTAAAGTGGATGCCACCAGACCAACAATAATTGGTTTGGGTTCCACCCCTCTTTCTGGTTTATCATACAGCTGATCTTGTCCAATAGAGGAATACATGCACAAATTTCTGCATACTACTACAGGAAATGGGGAGACTTACAGTCACAACATGATTGGAGGATAAGTAGATAGCAGAAACCTGTTAAAGGCACACTTTAGGGGATACGAGTTAAGCTCTGGTCTTAGGATATTGCTCAGGTAAAGTTGTTGTAAAAAGGGACAAACACCAGTAAAATTTAGTTTGAAAAAATTAGTTTTCAAATTGTTCAATTTTCTAATAGTTAATGGGGTCAGATCAGCAATCAATTTGACCGATCAATCGAAGGAGCAGAACGGAAGATATTTCTTGAACAAATTAAGTTCTATCAGTGAACATGCTTTTTGTTTGAGAAACTCCATTCATTTCTAAAATGAAATACTAAAATTAAACAATATTTTGAACGGCATTCGTCAAGTCTCTGATGGCAATTATCAAATGTTCTGGTATGAAAGTTTGTTCGAAAATCTACTAGTGTATGGCCAGCTGTAGGAGAATGCTTTAGCATAAGATTAAAACTCTGACCAGCTGCTGGTTCCCAGCTCAGGGGAGGTTTAAACAAAACTTCACCACTTTCAAATTCCAACTTTAAAGACAAGTGTATTAGTTTTGTAGCAGCAAAAGAGAGTAACGAATGATAGCAATGGTAAGAATCACTTAACTGATCTGACTACATTAAAATGGAATCCGGTTAGTTGCTCCTGAGTACTGCCATTTATACATTATAATATAAATATATAATTTTCTCCAAACTAGATCCATTAACCTTGAGGAAGTGTTTAGCTTCGAAAAATTAATTAACACCACTATTGAACAGGATCTAAAGTCACTCAAATGGTTGTTAGAAAAACAATTGATCCTTTGGTGGGACATTACCACTCATGAACGCTACCTAGTAGACGGTATAGTTCCCAGAAGTCTCCGTTGGGATATCCCACCAAACGATGGACTTAAAGATCAGGAGTCACATCTAGAATGGTTGAGATTTCTTCACCATTGTGAGGAAAAACTCCTACAGCTCCTAATAGCTAGAAAGAGACGTAAATTGGACTTAGTGGAGATTAAGATAAAAGAGCTTAAAATAAAGATCGAATCCCAAGGAGTACATTATCACTCCCTTTTACCTAGCTTTTTTTAAATTATCTTTTTATGCATATTTATTCTACAGACTTTGAGTGATACCAGCTTGTTATACTAAGGATAAAATGTTCAAGCAGCAAACGCAAAGCGTCAGCAGGATATTAATGGCATAATTGTACCTTCTATGTACTTACCATTCCGCCAAAGTATTTCACTACATAAAAGTAATTCAGAGCCAGCAGTTCCAGATAGGTTGCTCCTATGTCCTTGGCGAGCTGAAGTCCTTCATTAGCAGTGACAGAAATCTCTCTGTCTGAGGAGCACATAGGACAAGTACAGAATGGACCATCTGAAAAATAAATGGTATTGACTGACTCGATACTCACACTTGTCATCCTGCATAAGGTCATTGCTCTATAAGAAGATTGCTCCTTTTTAGGATGCCTGTCAAAACCAGGGGATCACAAAACCTGGCCATAATATGTAAGATTTTGATTGATCAATTCTCTGACATGTACAAAAAAAATGTATAATAGCTGGCTAAATTGGAATCTATTTTGTTCAATAGTATGGACGTGGTAGTACATGGCTACACCTAAGAATTGAAAACTCAGACATGAAATCTCAGAGCAGGTATGTGCCTGTTGGGAGAAGGAGTGTTCAAGCCTCTATGGATAGCTGTACATCTATAAGCCTCTCTCGATAGCTATACATCTAGAAGTATTGATGATGTAATTGGAATGTTTCCAGACTTCATGCAACATAAAAGGACAAAACTCTACCCATACATTCTTGTTTAACAAATCCAGGATTGCATATGAACTTAATCTGCTTCCTCTTTCTATACCTGTGAGATAAATTGGTAATCTATATTCCAATAATATTTTTCAGACCAGCTGCTGACTTGGTTTACAGCTGAGAAAGATACGAAGCTAAATATTAACTTCCTTTACACTTTGGCCCAAAGAATTTCAGGTTTTTATGTTGCCTCATACACTACACTTGATATTAAAATATGCCACAACATTATAAAAGTATATTTGTTGCCAATTTGAAGGTTTATTACAGGGTGGCTCACGTTGATGGGCATTCTTTTGCCAAACCTTGCATTTACTATTGAAATGCAACTGCATACATTTGAATGGCAAACTCTGGTTTTGAACAGGCTGTGTTTAACCTACTTTGCTTTCAGTTCAAACACACCTCAATAGGAAATGTTGCATTCAAAAAACACACGCAACGCAAAACAGGTGAAACAGGTGCTCAATTACAGTCAGTGGGATCTTGCTGACCTGTGTTTGACTTGTGTCCCAAATGCATGTCAAGCACATGAAAAACAATATCCAATAAGATGAGCCCTAAATAATATTAATTTTTTGCAAAGCATTTTCACCTCCATCTTTCTTTAGTTAGAAATTAATAATACTGATGGCCACATCCACCATAGGAAACTTAAATAAGGACCCTGTGAAATACATTTCCCCAATAAGACATACCTGCAGAAAAACAGAATAGCTACCGACCAATCCTACCGCTTGAGCTGTTATTGCTGAGGAATCATCCCCAGAAATCTGCTGGGAAACCAACACATTTGGGAGTGTTGATCTCCTGTGTACTGGTTTGTCCTATGGACCTCCACATCACTGCTGGACATAGTAATGATGGGAGGTTGATGGGAGAACCCAGTGATTTCCGTAGGCGACACAGCAGATCGACTCTCCTGAAAGTGTTGATTTCCCAGTAGATTTTATTAGTGTTCAATTAAGAATGTTAGTATATAATTCTTCTCCCTCAACATTACGCTCTTACAACACAACATTGTCCTATACTATTTCCAAGCAACTCACAGGTACCTGCTGTTTCAGCCAAGATATCTCATAAAGCACACACTATAAAGTGATTCAATTATTAATTAGAGCTCCTCCTCAAACACAAGCGGGGTACAACCGCTTCTTATGTGCCTGCCATATAATATCCGGAGAAAAGTCATAGTCCTCTGAATAAGTTATTTCCTGCTATGTGAAATCAATACCACATTCACACTTGTGGATCAATTATTAATAAGAAAAATACATCAGACAATGGGCTTTGCTGCCTGATCAATGATTCTGTGATAGACACTTACATAGGGGTCTATTCACCAAGCTGCCGAGGGCAGTCGAGTGAATGACCGATCTGAAGTGAAGTGAGCCGAACACTGTTCGGCTATTCACTTCAGGCTGGTACGGCTGACTTCAGCCGTACATCGGCTTGCTTCGAGTGGCTTCGGGTCGGCCGAACATGCTGTACGGCTACGATCCAGATGAATTTACCCCATAGTTTAGTCTGTGCAGTCAGTGGCATTTGGAGCCATCCTGATTTATAAAATCCAACCATCATTGTGTATAAAGCAATACATGAGTCTCTTGACACTGGTAAGCAGTTTTTCTTGATCATGCACCTCATTACAGAGCTAACACACAAATAAATTACTGCTCTGTCAAGCGTTCAATTCTCAGGCATCACAGCATTCTTTCAGGTGTTATTTCTTTTAAAGAAAAATGTTATTAACCCTTGCAGTGGGGCTACTTCACATTGCAAGGGTTAACTGCTCGTTAGTGTCTAGGTGCTAAAAAAAGAAGTTATACTAATCCGATCATTCGAGTCGCCTTGTTCTTAGACTGATCCCTAGAGCCTCTCTCCCCAGCCACTGCAGTGGTCTAAGAATCCTTATGTCATCATGTTCTATACAACTGTATAGATGTGAGGGCGCTGAGGAACATTCCATCTCTTCTCCCCGCAGGTGCTGGCTGCAATGGTCTGTGTCCCCGCTGCCTCTGCCGATACAGGCAGGGAGAGCAGTGGGAATTGAAAGGGACACAGCCAGCACCAGCGGGGAGGAGAACGGAGGAGCAGAGCGGCGGCAACTAATCGAAAATCAACTAACTGATGATGAGAATCATTGCCAGCGATTCTCATTATCGATTAAAATCGATCTAATTGATTAGTTGTTGCAGCCGTGGGGAGAAACTAATCTGCAAACCAGCTTATAATAACACATTTAAGTGAAAAAAGTAAAACCTGTGATTTTCTACTATCTTCAAGTTTCTATGCCAAGGAATAATCAAATCCACAGCATGTACGTGGTGGCACATATTCGTTTACCCAGGAGTTACATGGGCCCTGGCTACATCTGTGATACAGTGATGGGATACATCACTCTTGAGAATGGGCTATTGTAGGAGTCCTTACAATGAGAAACTGAATTTGCAAGTTTATGGAATTCTCTGCTCCCTTTAAAAGTTGTTTTGCCCTACTGAATCATGTCTGAATATCTCAGCATCCACTAAAGTCCATGTGCAGCCTAGGAAACACAGCATAGGTTACTAGTAATAACTCAAGTATATTTCATGCAATAAATTACAATAAGAAGCTGCACTACTCACCATTATGTCTAGTACCAATGGCCAGCACCATAATTGGAACAAAGCTGTGGCGGTAGATTTGTTTTACCACTGGCACAAAATTATTCTTTATATTCAGAAAAGAAGCCTTGTCATTGACGGAGAATTTGATTACAACAATATCTGTTTCTTGTAGCCTGTTCTGAGATTCCCGTGAGTCATTGTCAAATGTGTCCTTCAAAAACATGAATAACAAATAAGGTTCATAGTGAAATGACATTATTTATCTACCAAGTGTTATTATGCAATTAAAGCTTATGCACTTAATTATATTGTTTGCTATTTAAAAAAAAAAAGCCAGTATAAAGGAAAAGTAATGGTGAAAGAAAACACTTCAGGGTTTAATCAATCATTTTTGGCATAAAAGATTCTTAAAGGTCCACATAGCTGGGGACATGGCAGGGATGTGTCCATTGCATGAATACATTGCGCTAGAACAGTGATGGCGAACCTTTTTGAGCCGGAGTGCCCAAACTGGATCACTAAACCAACTTATGTATCTCAAAGTGCCAACCCTTCAATTAGACCTGAATACTCTCAGGGGGCTCTGCAGTTCTGAGGTGATCTGTACGGGCTAAGTTCAGCGGGGGAGAGAGGGAACTACTGCATAACAAAGTTAATTGGACTGGGACCGCTATCGCTGCGTCCCTTTGGTAATGCGGACCTGGGCTCGCGTGCCAGCAGAGGGGGCCCCACGTGCCCACTCTGGCACGCGTGCCATAGGTTCGCCACCGCTGCGCTAGAAGGTGTCCCTCTGTTAGGATCCAGAACACCTCCAGGTGGCGCTGGAGCTAAGCCCTGCAGTTCCTGTGCTCACCTACAGGTGTCTCCAGGCAGCCAGGAACTGTTAGGTACCAGACCACCATTGAGTGGCGCTGGAACCTGCAGCTCCAGTGCTCATCTGCGGGTGTCTCCCAGCACTTAGCCATCACCTGGTGCTTCCTGGGAGGGTATTTAAACCCTCCCTGCAGTCAGGACGATGGCTCAGTATTGTTTCCTGTGAGTCCTGTTACCAGTCCTGAACCCTGTTTGCAGTCCTGTTTCCTGGGAGCCCTGTTACCAGTCCTGAACCCTGTTTGCAGTCCTGTTTCCTGGGAGTCCTGTTATCAGTCCTGCACCGTTTGCAGTCCTGAACCCTGTTACTTGTTTATTGCTATTTCTGCTCCTGTCATATGTTATAGGTGTCTGGGATTATATTTGGTTGGGGTCACGCTCCTTATTTAGGTTTGCTTTTTGTTTGTTTTTTCTGGTTGTGCCGTTTACAAATAAACTGTATATCATACATTCTGCTTTGTCCTGTGTGGTCATACGTGTTTGGTCTTCCCGTGTGGTTACCTGCATATGGTGTGGAGACACCTGTGCACGGAACCCTGACACCCTCTTTCTCATCTCAGAAAGTTAGGAGGTATGCTTCCAGGACGTCAAGCAAGATATGCAAACATGAAGTAGGAAGCTTTATAAAGGTTAGGTCATTATGAAATTACATTCAGTGCATAGGTATTAAGCTTTACGATTTCTGCACTTGTACCCAGGGACTTAAACACATTAATGAGTAATGAATGCAGGCCAACTTGTATTACGAAATACTTACCCAGTCAGAATATTCATACACCACTACCTCGACATGACCCAAAACTAAGGCTTGGTAGACCTTGAGACCTGGATTTTCTTGTGTGTGAGGTTCATTAGCTCTATAGCCAAGGTAAAAAGAGACCAGGCTTGAATGATCTTCATTGTCCTCTTTCCCAAGTGATAGAATCCCAATTGACCTTAAACAAATAGAATTCTTATTTACTCATTATATTTGAGCAGTTTGAATAAATAGATAACGAAGCCGATAAAACAAACAGCGACACAAGGTTCTGTGTTTGAAGTAAGCCAGGGTAGATCAAACTTAACAAATAATGAAAAAAAAAAAGAAAGATTTAAAATGATCAGTAGAGCCAGAAGTAAGGACAGCTAAGCTTACATGCAATTCATGACTTCCTGCAAACGTTAAGCTTGGAATGATTCCTCTGCCTCCAATGCCTTCCTATTTGTCACTCGGTGCATATTGCCTGGCATGCATGTCTATACGCTGAGCAGACACTCCTCAATCTAATCTTCATCATGCTTATCTTTGTGGAATTATAGACAAATGAATAATTGTCAGGGTTATCTGTTAGCTCACATGGGCTTCAGCTTGTATAAGAGGTCACTTCCTGCAGACACTTGCCTTACATTCAAAGTATTTCAAATTGAAGTACACCTTTCTGAAGACAAATCCTCAACCCATTGTCCCTACAGTGTGCTAGACACCCTTCATTGTCTATGTGTACTGATATCAATAATCCAATCATGAAGGAGCGAGTGGCATGCCACCTGTTTCTCCCCAATGCACAACATAGGGTCTCTGTGGCCAGCAGCTGGACCCCACTACTGTCACATTAGGGCACAATGCCTGCCATTTTGTCTTTAATTGTCGGCAATGTCTAGAATTGCTGACAATTGCACACTGAATGGCATGCAGCCTTCCCATGTGACAGCACTGGGGTCTGCCTATTGGCCCTTCATGGAGGAACAGCAGAAATTGGAGTAGTTATCAAGATGGCACTGGAGGGTGCCTAGCACAGGGGGTGGTTGGTGTTTTTCTATCAACCAAATATAGTTAGGCACCTCAGTTAAGGGATTACCTTGCCCAGGCTTTAAGACCTGTCTTCTTCGCACCAGCAATCATGCTCTGAATAAGACTGCTGTCATTGGCTGTCTACAGAACTCTCTTCATTTCCATAATGAATGGAGGTTCTTGCGAGACACAGCTTGTATCACTCCAACATCTTCCAGTGTCACTGATCTTCTCCAATCCTCCATTTTCCATTCACATGAATCGGAACGCTTTGCCATCCAGTGTTCTTATTAATAGAATGATGTGACAGCAGAGTTGCTGGAGAATGGTCATATCACACCTGCTGGACCAGCCGCCCCCCCCCCTATGCCTACGAGTTTCCACATGATGGCAGTCATTTGGGATTTCACAAGCTACATTTTTCCTATGTCTCCGAACTGTTGGCATGCATATGTTTGACACGGTCCTAGCCACAGCTACAGAGTGACTTATCCACACTGAGCTACATCAATTCTGCTTTACATGGAGGTCTCCCAATGCCACATAAGCATGCTGGAGAGTGATGTGCTCCAAAACAAGCCACAAGCACCTGTAATGGACACCAGCAAAGGGGACGATAAGGAGATTGTCAATGCTGACTCCAGATTGGGAAAAAGCTTATTGCCTGGCTCTTACATGCTTCACGCATCATGTGTTCTGACTTCACTGTGACTACATGTGCTGAGTGCCTATTACAGTGACAACTAGTATTTCCAGGAGGTCAGCAATGGCAGACTACATATTTCTAGGTTTTCTTTTTTTTAACTCTGTTTATTGAATTCAGACATGTTCGCAGCTAATACAACAAAGCGGTGATTCAATGATTGTCAATCAAATAATACAAAACCAATACAGTTAGAGTCTGTCATCTTTTGTTGGGCTAAGCAAGAGAATTCACATATACCTAGAGGGTAGAGCAAATGATAAATACCTGAGGTAAAAGGACAATAGTAAGGAATAGTGCTAAGGATACAACGTTCTGAAGATGTATTGTCTCAGGTCAGAGAGAGGAGAGAGAGACATTCCTCCCCGAGCTTCTGGAACTTTCAGGAGCAGTTTCTGTGATCATATACAGTATACTGTATATGTTTTCATATGGAATGCTTGGATAACCAGGGATACCCATTGTGTTAATGTGGGAGCTGATGGCTGCATCCATTTAAGGCCAATCACCTCAGGGGTCATAAATAGGGTTTCCTGTAACGCAGCCACATCCAACAAACCAAAGAGGCATTTTACTGGGGTGCTTGGTTTAGGGCAACGTGCCAAGGAGCACAAAAAGACTCCAAAAAGAGGAGATTGCGGGGCACATCCATATACATGTACAGAGTACATTTCCGAGTACAGGTTTCCTTTAATGTATTCCCCCTACCTCCCTCCTTCCATGCTACTGTGATAGGAGTAAGCAAGTTCTATTTAAAACTACACTAAACTGATGTGTCTCAGCATAAGTGTACCACATATCAATGAATATAAAATATAGTAGAGAGTACATATTCAGATTCATTTATTAAGGCGATTTCAGGTTAATACAGTGAAATGTGCCACAATGCAAAGATGTTTAAGATGTGTGCAATGTGGTGCGCAACAACACAAGTGTGATATGCTTCCTAGGTGCATCAGAGTGCCATTCAATTGGTACTGAACCTCACTGCACAGTAATGTATTGCAGCATGTCACTGCACAGTAATGTATTGCTGCATGTCACTGCACAGTAATGTATTGCTGCATGTCACTGCACAGTAATGTATTGCTGCATGTCACTGCACAGTAATGTATTGCTGCATGTCACTGCACAGTAATGTATTGCTGCATGTCACTGCAATGTGATAATGTGAATGGGCTCCAAAGTCTCACTGCAGATGAATGTACTAGCCACTAACTAAGAATGTTATACCATGTCCAATCATCAGTGATGCCGGTGTCATCGTCATTTCTAAATACGGGCCTATGTACGCCACACGTCCACCTACAGGCCTGTATATTCCACACAGGCCTGTATATGCCACACGTCCACCTACAGGGCTGTACATGCCACGCATCTACCTCCAGGGCTGTATATGCCTCGCGTCCACCTACAGGCCTGTATATGCCACGCATCTACCTCCAGGGCTGTATATGCCACACGTCCACCTACAGGCCTGTATATGCCACGCGTCCACCTACAGGCCTGTATATGCCACACGTCCACCTACAGGCCTGTATATGCCACATGACCACCTACAGGCCAGTATATGTTGCACTTCTACCTATAGACCAGTATACGGCACAGTTCCACCTACAGACCTGTATACAGCACAGTTCCACCTACAGACCGGTATACAGCACAGTTCCACCTACAGACCTGTATACAGCACAGTTCCACCTACAGACCTGTATACAGCACAGTTCCACCTACAGACCTGTATACAGCACAGTTCCACCTACAGACCGGTATACAGCACAGTTCCACCTACAGACCTGTATACAGCACAGTTCATCATCTCTGACAAACTTTTTCCTCTGGTTTCCTCTTTCATAAAGTTGAATGTGCCAAGTGAAGGCTTTATAAAGTCACACATTATAATCACTGACACCTTTATTGCTGCTGTCCTGTTCTCATCTATAAAGAGAACTTGGTGCCTTCGTAGCAAATCGGATGATGATTGAACCTTTCCAGCTGGTCAGACCAGTTCATGGCGCTTTATATATTATTAGGGTGTTTACCTTCTTTAAATAATATGTGTAATAAACCCTATTTCTAGACTTTTACTTTGAACCACATTTTTCTCATATACATTTTCTTCCACATGACAGGAAATGTCTTCTTTAGCCTTGATTCACACCAGAACGTTTTATAGCTCGAAACTCAAAGCTCCAAAATCCCATGTTTACGAATGTGCCTGCACATGTATTGAGGGGCTCAAAAAGGTTCATGAGGGGCTCCTAATATGTGTGTCACTCCTAGAGCTGGTCACTTGTTATGGAGGGCCATGGCGAGATATGATCTACTGTAATGGATGGAGTGATTATATGTTAGCAATGGTCATGTCCCCTGAATGCTTCCTGTCATGTGTTTGTATTTTTGATATGTTGTAAAACAAAAATAAAGTTTTTATTCCCTTTAAAAAAAAAAAAAAGTGTACGTGAGCAAATTCTGGGCAGAATTGGGCATTTTAGCCCCATGGGGTTCAATGGAAGTGCCTCAAAAATGCCTGAAAAACCACCATCTCCTCTCCTAGTACAGAAACATACAAATACAAATGTTCCAGCATTGCATGGAAATGTTCACACGCCCGGTCCCTGAACATGGGACAGCCCCGGTCCCTAAACATGGGACAGCCCCGGTCCCTAAACATGGGACAGCCCCGGTCCCTAAACATGAGAGATCCTGGGTCCCTAAACATGGGACAGCCCCGGTCCCTAAACATGGGACAACCCCGGTCCCTAAACATGGGACAACCCCGGTCCGTAAACATGGGACAGCCCCAGTCCCTAAACATGGGACAACCCCGGTCCCTAAACATGGGAGAACCCTGGTCCGTAAATATGGAACAGCCCCAGTCCCTAAACATGGGACAGCCCCAGTCCCTAAACATGGGACAGCCCCAGTCTCTAAACATGGGAGAACCCTGGTCCATAAACATGAGACAGCCCCGGTCCCTAAACATGAGACAGCCCCAGTCTCTAAACATGGGAGAACCCTGGTCCATAAACATGAGACAGCCCCGGTCCCTAAACATGAGACAGCCTCAGTCTCTAAACATGGGAGAACCCTGGTCCCTAAACATGGGACAGCCCCGGTCTCTAAACATGGGAGAACCCTGGTCCCTAAACATGGGAGAATCCCAGTCCCTTAACATGGGACAGCCCCAGTCTCTAAACATGGGACAACCACGGTCCGTAAACATGGGACAGCCCACGTCTGTAAACATGGGAGAACCCTGGTCCCTTAACATGAGACAGCCTCAGTCTCTAAACATGGGAGAATCCCAGTCCCTAAACATGAGACAGCCTCAGTCTCTAAACATGGGAGAATCCCAGTCCCTAAACATGAGACAGCCTCAGTCTCTAAACATGGGAGAATCCCAGTCCCTAAACATGAGACAGCCCCGGTCTCTAACCATGGGAGAACCCTGGTCACTAACCACGCGTGAGACAGCCCCTGTCTCTAAACATGGGAGAACCCTGGTCCCTAAACATGAGACAGCCCCGGTCTCTAAACATGGGAGAACCCTGGTCCCTAAACATGAGACAGCCCCTGTCTCTAAACATGGGAGAACCCTGGTCCCTAAACATGAGACAGCCCGGTCTCTAAACATGGGAGAACCCTGGTCCCTAAACATGAGACAGCTCGGTCTCTAAACATGGGAGAACCCTGGTCCCTAAACATGAGACAGCCCCGGTCCTTATTCCTGGAGAGCCCCAGAATGACCCCTCACTGTCGTCATAAACAGAGTACAGTCCTAGTCATACAGGGAGACCTCTATACTCCATTGTACAGTCCCCCCTCCGATGTACTTACATGTCTGAGTGTCCGAGCTCCGGGCTCATGTCATCGCCCCGTGTACAGTGAATGGACGGTGATCACTGTCAGCTCCTGTGTGTGCGGGTTAATATTCACGGAGTGCTCTGCCCTGATTGCAGTGTGTGCCCTCCCCAGCCACCGGAGAGAGAGAGAGAAAGACACACACACACACAACACAGCACACACACAACACACACACAGTGCCTGCAGTCAGCAGGAGGAGCGCACAGCGGAGTGTGGGCAGCTGAAATGAATTCTACTGAACATCATCCGTACAATCGCCTTGTTGTGTTATAGATGTGACTGCTGATCGCTGTGCCAGCAGAGCTGTGCTGCCAAAACCCTCTCCTGCTACACACACACAGCTCTAAGATTTCACAGTGTATAGGAAGAGAGTGTGCCCCCTACATTCACTACAAGGCTGGCTCTTCACTGATGTTTCCAGTCACAAGCCTAGCTATAGGGGATCATACACTATACAACCTCCTTTACATCTACCACTGCCTGATTAGTGAAAGGGCTCTCATATAAGGGATCATACACTATACAACCTCCTTTACATCTACCACTGCCTGATTAGTGAAAGGGCGTTCAGGTTTGCTCTCATATAAGGGATCATACACTATACAATCTCCTTTAAGGTGCCCATACACTGCTCGATTCTCGTACGAGAATCGCGGGAAATCCCGCGATCGTACGAGAATCGAGCAGTGTGAACGAAGACGTGCGACCGTTTCTACTGTACGGTCGCACGTCTTTTGTCTAAGGAGCACGCTAGAAAACCAGCCGAAAATCGTACGATTTTCGGCTGGTTTGAACGGTGCTCGGGAGACAAATGCCGAACGGGCCGGTGTGCGCACGCGCACACTGCCCGTTCAGCATTGCGGTCATCGGAAGCTCGCCCCTCAGGGGGGCGGGCTTGCGATGATCGAGAGTACGATCTGCCTGTCCAAGATGGGCAGATCGTACGTTTTTTTTATTACTTTACAACCATCGCAAGACTAAGGTCTTGCGATGGTTGTAGAGTGTATGGCCACCTTTACATCTACCACCAACTCTGTGGTACAGGACACTGCCTGATTAGTGTAAGGGTGTTCAGGTTTGCTCTTATATAGGGGATCATACACTATACAACCTTTACGGCAGGGTCACCCCAGGTGGGCTGTTTGGGTTATCAGGTGGGCTTAACTAAAAATCACAGGGCCCCATACGAAATTTTGCTATGGGGCCCTGGGATTTCTAGTTACGCCCCTGGTCCATTCTGTATTTTATTTGCAAATAAAGTACTGGATGGACGGATTTCCTTGCGTGTGCCGTTTTTTTACCTATTGACCAGTGATGCTGACTCAGCAGTGCCACAAGCTTAGTCCTGCTGCAGCTTTATTTATCATCAGTAAAAATGCACCAACAGTAACAAAGCTAAACTTTACAATGTAGCATCAACCACACAGTGCAGTATACCAGTACAAAGAAAAGGCCATTCTAGATGCTATACACATGTAAAATATCACAAGGAAGAGCTGCAGTTTGCCCAGATCACGCAATTAGATCTCCTTTTTACAAAAACCCCACTACACAATTATTTTTTACCTGCATTGCTAGATAATGCCCATGGGCGTAACTAGAAATCACAGGGCCCCATAGAATAATTTTGTATAGGGCCCCCCCAAATAGCCCCAACCTACCTCCAGAACATGGTCCCATGCTTGCACTGTCTCTGTCTCCTCTTCAGCTCTGCTCCTGCTGGCTATGATGTCAGAGCCAAGGAAGAGATCACTCCGCCGCTCACTGCTGCAGAGCCCACTATAGACCCCGCATAGCCCAAGGTACCTTCAGTGCTATGTGAGGCATGGGACTGTAGGTGACATATGCTTACACTAACTTAATACTTTAAATAAATAACAACAAACACGCTATGTTATTTGTATTGGCATTAATTGGCCGCGGCATTTTATTGGAATAAATAATTAGTTTAATCTTTAATAACCAACTAGAATCAATCAACCATTAAATTGTTAAAACCAACCAAATTTCCCAGTTATTGTAACTCGAGCAATACATCAGTTAAGGGAATAGTCCCCCTCGTATGAGGTGACAAACCACATAAAACACAGCGACTAGGGAGGGGGGGCTAGGGAGCTTGAAAATCAGGATTCCAACTGATGATGATTACTTGGAGCACCTCCTTATATAGGGTGACTGTGGAAGTTTCTAGAAGTCCTCGCGGCAATGTTTTCCCGCCAAAAAAGTATTTTCCCGCCGATAAAACGTCCGTTAAAGTTTCTTAAAGGGCCAGTAACTGTAATAGATAACTATGGAAAAAGCACACAAAAAAAAACAATAATAGTCCCCACATTCCCATGAAAATGGGCCTCTAATGGATGCCATTATTACATTCTCCATGCCTGCCCCAACCCGCCAAAGCCCATCCTGTTACCAGCCTGCTGACGCCCCGCCCCCCAACCCGGTCACCAAGCTATGTGTGAAGAAGACAGGGAGGAGCCTCCCTGTCACTCACTTACTCGTCACTGGTGAGGCATCGAGAGCAATGTCCTCAGTGGGTTTTTTTTCTTCTTTTTGATTGGACAGCTTGGACCAATGGCGCTTTGCCATTGGTCCGAATCCTCCACAGAGCTCAAGCCTCTAACACAGAGTAGAGGCTGTTGCAGCTCTTGCCACACTATGTTAGGTTACACATAGCAGCACGACAGCGGAAATCAAATTATTCTTAATAATGCCTGTTCACATCAATGCAACATGGTGCGGTACGATTTGTGGAAAGCTGCTGGTGCTTCTTTTGGTGCTACACAGTGCAATTTGGCCCCATAGACTTCAATAGGAGCACAAGAAAAACACATTTATATGCACTTTTATGATTAAGGTCTTCTCAAAGAAAGATGATGCCTAATGATCTTACAGCATATATTGCCTATCATTGGCCAAAAGAACAATGCATGGAGCATGAAAATGCATCACAAAAGCACTGAAGAAGGCATAATCATACATTAGCACCCGTGTGGCCCTAGGCTATAGTTTCATTAAACTAGTATACGACACTGGCTCACATTAGGATTCACCCGGACAGTCCGGATTTGGAATGCTGTGTCAGAGTTGGTTTCATGGCAGGTAAAACCCGGACATAAGATGTCAGACAGACAGGGGCAACCAACATTAAGATAGGGGCTACTGGCCCCCCACTAAAAATAGTATCGACTGTGATATTTACATATGAATGGGTGACGCTATTTACATATAAATAAGCTCAATCTCCCCAAAAAAATTCCGTGCGTGTTCGGGTTTCGCTGTAAGAAAAGGTGGCAACCCTAGCTCACATGCTATACTTACACCAAATGATTTCTATGTTGAACTAAAGTATATCTGGTGGGGGAGGTACATAAATAAAAAACAGGCAAAATAAGAGCAATACTCATGTGTTCCTTATCATTTTGCAAATACTGCTACATTCCAGATTAGAAGAGGTCACTTTTTATCACAGTTAGACCCTTGAAAAGTAATGGAAAATCAATAGAATTCCAGACAGAAAACATTGTGCTCATTCTCACTACGTGACCTCTAAATGTCCCCTACATTTCATATTCAATTCATTCAATGTTGACTTTTAACCTTAAAATGTTTGTGCAGAAGGCCAAAGCCTGTTAGTATGTATGTGTTTATATATATATTTATACACTATATTGCCAAAAGTATTGGGACGCCTGCCTTTACACGCACATGAACTTTAATGGCATCCCAGTCTTAGTCCGTTGGGTTCAATATTGAGTTGCCCCCCCCTTTGCAGCTATAACAGCTTCAACTCTTCTGGGAAGGCATCCACAAGATTTAGGAGTGTGTCTATGGGAATGTTGGACCATTCTTTCAGAAGAGCATTTGTGAGGTCAGGTACTGATGTTGGACGAGAAGGCCAGGCTCGCAGTCTCCGCTCTAATTCATCCCAGAGAGTTCTATCGGGTTGAGGTCAGGACTCTGTACAGACCAGTCAAGTTCCCCCACCCCAAACTCGCTCATCCATGTCTTTATGGACCTTGCTTTGTGCACTGGAGCGCAGTCATGTTGGAACAGGAAGGGGCCATCCCCAAACTGTTCCCACAAAGTTGGAGCATGAAATCGTCCAAAATGTCTTGGTATGCTGATGTCTTAAGAGTTCCCTTCACTGGAACTAAGGGGCCAAGCCCAACCCCTGTAAAACAACCCCGCACCATAATCCCCCTCCACCAAACTTTACACTTGGCACAATGCAGTCAGGCAAGTACCGTTCTCCTGGCAACCACCAAACCCAGACACGTCCATCAAATTGCCAGACAGAGAAGCGCGATTCGTCACTCCAGAGAACACGTCTCCATCTCTCTAGAGTCCAGTGGCGGCGTGCTGTACACCACTGCATCCGACGCTTTGCATTGCACTTGGTGATGTAAGGCTTGGATGCAGCTGCTCGGCCATGGAAACCCATTCCATGAAGCTCTCTATGCACCGTTGTTGTGCCAATCTGAAGGCCACACGAAGTTTGGAGGTCTGTAGCTATTGACTCTGCAGACAGTTGGCGACTTCTGCGCACTGTGCACTTCAGCATGCGCTGACCCCGCTGTGTCATTTTACGTGGCCTACCACTTTGTGGCTGGTTTTCTGTTGTTCCCAGTTGCTTCCACTTTGTTATAATACCACCAACAGTTGACCGTGGAATATTTAGTAGCAAGGAAATTTCACGGATGGACTTGTGAACAGGTGGCAACCTATCACGGTACCATGCTTGAATTCATTGAGCTCCTGAGAGCGACCCATTCTTTCACAAATGTTTGTAGAAGCGTCTGCACACCTAGGTGCTTGATTGTATACACCTGTGGCCATGGAGGTGATTGGAACACCTGAATCCAATGATTTGGAGGGGTGTCCGAATACATTTGGCAATATATGCCTTACTATATATATATATATATACTGTATAGTAAGGTAAGGAGGCCGGCAGCATCTGTATGAAGAAGCCTAAAGCTGTATGCACGGTTCTATTTTTTTCGCTCAAACTGCGGGCTGAAGAAAAAAAAATAGCACAGATTCCTCCATCAACGCTTGCGAGCGTTGATGGGGGAC